CATTTTATTTTTTAAAAACTACTTATGTTCAGCTACAGGAATGCAGGGAATTAAGTTTAAGAAAGAATGCCTTAGAAACCGTCTGTCTTGTGTTGGAGAGAAAGTGGTCTAGACTGATGGGACAATGCACAAATATTGCACTATTCCTAATACCTAGAAGGTGTGATGATGCATGGTTTTCACATATGATGGAAAGGAGGCATTTTAGGGCCATCACTGAGGCACAGTGGGCAGTACCAGCATCCAGTGTGGGCACCAGCTCAATTCTCTGCTGCTCCACTTCCTGTCCAGCTCTGCTAATGCACCTGGGAAAGCAGTAGGTGGCCCAAGTCCTTGGGCCCCAGCACCTACATGAGAGACCCTGAAGAAGCTCCTGCCTCCTGTCTTCAGCCTGGCCCACTCCCAGCTGTTGCAGCCATTTGAGGAGTGAACCAGCAGATGGAAGATCTCCGTCTCTCTGTCTCTCCTTCTTTCTCTTTCTCTGTAACTCTGCCTTTCAAATAAATAAATCAAATTTTTTTTTAAAGGAGACATTTCAGAGACAAACAGAGCAGATAAGAGTAGGTGCATTTTGTTGTCCTCTGCAAAGTAACATCTGAGATGCCTCACTGTGTGGCAAACTATGGTGTTAGCTCTTTATTTTGAGTTAGATAAAGTCATAGATCATATACCATTAGCTCTTATTACAATGGAGATCCAAAGAGAGGCCAGCACTGTGGCGCTGTGGGTTAACACCCTGGCCTGAAGTGCCGGCATCCCATATGAACACCGGTTCGAGACCCAGCTGTTCCACTTCCTGTCCAGCTCTCTGCTGTGGCCTGGGAAAGCAGTAGAAGATGGCCCAACTTCTTGGGCCCCTGCACCAACGTGGGATACCAGGAAGAAGCTCCTGACTCGTGGCTTCAGATCAGCACAGCTCCAGCCGTTGCAGCCATCTGGGGAGTGAACCATCAGATGGAAGACCTCTCTCTCTCTCTCTGCCTCTCCTCTCTCTGTGTAACTCTTTCAAGTAAATAAATAAATATCTTTTTAAAAAAAACAATGGAGATCCAAAGAGATCAAATTTAAAACTTACTGAGGTCATAAAACTAGTTAACAACTGAGCACAAGCTTCAATTCTGATCTTGTCTCCTTACTCCAGAATTATTCTCACTTTATATCTACTGTGCTGACATATTAGTCATTCCAGCCTTTAAGATTGTTTCTCCATTCTCGTAGTCAAAAGAGTGGCCCCCAAAAATGTGTGGGGGCCCTAATCTCTGGAACCTATGAATAAGTTTCATTACAGGCTCGAGAGGAATTAAGGTTGCAGATGGAACTGAGGTTATTGATTAGCTGACCCAAAAAGAGGGGGTTATTCTGTATCACTGAAGTAGGTACAACATAATCCCAAAGGTCCAAACATGGAAGAAGGAGAGGGAAGAGTAAGCATCAGATTGCTGTAATGTCAGAAGGCTGTTGTTGGCTGTGAGGATAGAAGGGTGCCACCAGCCGAGGAACGTGGGCAGCCTCTCAGAAGGAGGAAACGCAAGACAGTGAATTCTCCCCAAAGCTCCCAGAAAGTAAGTGCCCTGCCAGTGCTTTGATTTTGGCGCAGGGAGACTCATTCTGAACTTCTGACCTCTGGCATTGTAAGATAACAAATTTGTGTCATTGAAATCACTGAATTTGTGGGAATATTTTACAGCATAATAGAGAACGAATACACATTCTAAAAAGAATTTCAAATTAAAACTCAACAACACTCTATTATTATACATGAAGTTATTCACAAAAATGCCATTAATTCTTTTGAGGCTTGATCTTTACCAAATAGTAACAAGTAACAGCGAATATTCAAGGATAATACCTAATACATACCAAGGACTATTCTAGATGTTAGCTATGTTACTATATTTCAACCTTGCGAGAGCATTGTGAGATGGACAGTTACTATCCCCACTTTACTGAGAAGACAGGCACAGAGGAGTCATGCAGCCTGCCCAAGATCACAAAGCTGGAAGGCCACTGAGCAGGAATTGAACCTAGATGGTCACTCTGCAGTCTGCACTACGATGCTAATGTGCTTCTCTCAGATGGTAGTGCCTGCACAGATAGCTTCCTTACCAAGAGCAGACATACATGGTTTTGTCTTTGATCCAAGAGCTAAGCATAATTGCTTCTAGAGATACATTTTTTCCTAGCTCATAAATTTTCCTTTGAGACAGTATTAATTATTTTTGTAAGCTTACAATATGGCTTGTTAAACTTTTTTCCTCTCCTTAGCACTGAAATGGTTTTTATTTGTTAATCACCAATAACTTCATAATCTGGCAGAGATCAATCATTCAAGAACTGATTAATGTGGCTGTGATTTACCAGCTCAATCATCTTTCTTGCCTTTTGCCTCTTGCTTAATTCAGATCAGATCACACTTCTCCGTCTACCAGGCTACAGATTGTGAAGGCAGAGGAGGTAAAAGTAAACAGGAGTCAGCACTGTGGCTAGGCGGGTAAAGCCGTTGCCTGCAGTGCCGGCATCCCATATGGACACCAGTTCGAGACCCAGCTGCTCCACTTCCTGTCCAGCTCTCTGCTTTGGCCTGGGAAAGCAGTAGAAGATGGCCCAACTCCTTGGGCCCCTGCACCCACGTGGGAGACCCAGAGGAAGTTCCTGGCTCCTGGCTTTGGATCGGCGCAGCTCCAGCCATTGCAGCCATCTGGGGAATGAACCAGTGGATGGAAGACCTTTCTCTCTCTCTCTCTCTGCCTCTCCTTCTTTCTCTGTGTAACTGACCTTCAAGTAAAATAAAAATAAATCTTAAAAAAAAAGTAAAACCTACAGACATAGCTGCTTCTTAACAACAGTGCTGACAGAAGAAAGGATTTGGCTAGTGTTGCCTACCATGGATTTTTTTTTTCCACTTTATTTTCAGATGAAGCTTAAGTTCTTTGTATGATGTTTTATATTTACACACCATTTTCTTTTTCCCCCCAAGATTTATTTATTTATTTGAAAGTCAGAATTACACAGAGAAAGGAGAGGCAGAGAGAGAGAGAGAGAGAGAGAGAGAGAGAGAGGTCTTCCATCCGATGGTTTACTCCCCAATTGGCCGCAATGGCCGGAGCTGCGCCGATCCGAAGCCAGGAGCCAGGAGCTTCTTCCTGGTCTCCCATGTGGGTGCAGGGGCCCAAGGACTTGGGCCATCTTCTACTGCTTTCCCAGGCCATAGCAGAGAGCTGGATTGGAAGTGGAGCAGCCGGGTTTCGAACCGGTGCCCATATGGGATGTTGGGGCTTCAGCTCAGGGTGTTAACCCACTGTGCCACAGCACTGGCCCCCTACACACCGTTTTCTTTTACATCTTTATTTCTTTTTTGTTAGAGATTTATTTATTTATTTGAAAAGCAGAGTTACAGAGAGAGGGAGAGGAAGAGAGAGAGAGAGAGAGAGAGAGAGAGAGAGGTCTTCCCTTCGCTGGTTCACTCCCCAGATGGCTGCAACAGTCAAAGCTAGGCCAATCCAAAGCCAGGAGCCAGGAGCTTCTTCCAGGTCACCCATATGGGTGCAGGGGTCCAAAGACTTGGGCCATCTTCTACTGTTTTCCCTGTCCATAGCAGAGAGCTGGATCAGAAGTGGAGCAGCCAGGTCTCAAACCGGTGTCCATATGGAATGCTGGCATTGCAGGCGGCAGCCTTAGCCGGTACACCACAGTGCCAGCTCCTACATTTTTATTTCTAACATGGCCTTTTCAGATTTACTAATTTGATTCCTTTATGCTTGGCCATATTCTCCTTTATCACAGATGGTTATGAATTGGTTTTAATCATTGTGTTAGTCAATCTTTGTTACTATTACTGAACACCTGAGACAAGCTTACTTTATAAAGGAAAGAGATTAGTTTGGCTCATAGTTCTGGAGGTTCACAGTCCAAGATTGGGTGGGCCCCATTGCTTCAGCCTTGGGTGGTTGTGGCCTTCTCTCTGAAAGAGTCCTGAAGTGGACATTACATAGCAAAAGACAGGGAGTGTGCATGTCTGCCTATGTCTATGTGGTCTTTTATAGAGTCACCAGGATTCAGCCATGGGGGCTTTCCCCTCTGATCTAATCCCAGTCAATCCACTTCCACAAAGCCCCACCTCCAAACTTCATAACTGCGTTATGTTTCCACCTCTTAGTGCCGTTAGCATAAGGCTTGGGGGACTAAACCCCTGAGTTTGGGGAAACAAAAATTCAAACCATAGGAATTCTATACTCTTTTTGATCTTTAGACTCACAAAACCAAAATAAAGTCAAAATCAGTTTGTCGTTCTTCAAGAATTCCTTTCACTTTTAAATGTACTTCACTATGTGATAGCCTGGCGTGGAAATAGAGCATCAGTGACTGATGGCTAGGTGGGAACTGTCCACAGCTTTTCCGGAAAGGGTTTTGAGGAAGAGTTGGGACCCTGTGGGAAAGAATTGAGTGGTCTCTGCAGATGGAGTCGCTCACTAGCAGATGCAGATGTGTGTTTTGGAGGCGAGCTGGGCATTGCAACTGCTGTATACTGCGGTCCCTGCTGCAGGGAGCCAGATGCTGCTTCCCCTACCAAGCACCTGTGCAGAGGAACTTGGGTACTGTGGCACCACCCGTTTCAACATTCCCAATTTTATGAATCTTCAGCGTTTTCAAAAAAGAATAAATCAGTGAAGCTACAATCCAACATTCAGAAGATTTGTGTGACTCTTTAAAATATACCATACAATGAATGGAACCAGGATTAAATTAAACAGTTTTGAAGGACTGTTAGATAATGCAGAAGATCATTAAGAGCTGGTTTAAATTATTTTCATTAGAAAAAATAGCAGTAGCTTCCTTGTTATTTGTAAATAAGGTGACTTAAAAATTCACCCTATGCAATCCTCACCTAAAGCAATGATGTAGACATTTTTTGGAAAGATTTATTTCTATTTGAAAAGCATAATGACTGAGGAAGAGAGAGGGAAAGAGAAGTATCTTCCATCTTCTGATTCACTCCTCAGATGAGGCACAAACCAAGACTGGGCCATGATGAAGCCAGGAATCAGGAGCTCCATATGGGTTTCCCATGTGGGTGGCAGAGATCCAGTACTTGAACCGTCACCTTTTGCCTCTCAGGGAGCACATTAGTAGGAAGCTGGAATCAGAAGCGGAACTGAGACTCCAACTCTGACGTGGAATGCAGGTGTCCCAAGTAAGCATCTTAGCCCCTGAACCAAATGCCCACTTAACATTTTTAACTCCCAAATTGAAGAGAGAAAACTGAGGCTGGTGACCTGATGACACTTTCCTTTGGTTTGTAAAAGGCAGGCAGGTGTGTCGGAGGACAGCCTGAAATGGGGTTCAGAGCAGTCCAGCAGGTTGGCCTCAGCGGAGGGCTGCCTTCTAATGGGAAGTGTGCTGGAGAGATGCCTTCTCACAGTCAGCTCTAGCCCAGAGGTGAGATGGTTCACATTACCCCACCACCATGGAAATGGTGAGCAGTATGCCTGAAGTCATGGAGAGGTTAGACCAGCCCAGATCTCAGAGATTTCTACCTCCCAGGATTGAGGGAAGTTGGAGCCACCATTCTTGCTCTGTTCCTTTTACTCCTCTTTGGGGGTCGCTCCCTGCAGCGCTTCTGTCCCATCCGTTGCTTTTCCACTTTGACCGTCAATTATTTTCTGTCTTTCTCTGAGCTTGTGATAGTTAAAAGAAGATACAAATCAAGCTGTGCTTTCCTGCCTTAGTCTTCTGGGTATTTGCCTCAGTTTTCAGCTTAGCTTTTGCTTTGGAGCCTAAACAATCAGTGGGTTTTCTTTTGTGTCCGAGATCTTTTCAGACTGTTTGAAAAGCTTGATAATTAAAAAGGGTTCATGAAATCAGACCTCTGCTAGGAACTTAAATTGAATGAAATATCAGTTCAGAGGCTATTTGGATATTCTGTTGAGGCTTTGTCTGGGTCCAAGTGTTCAAAAATACATAGCTTGAAAAACATAGCTTGGGCTTCAAATTGGTTCATGGGGTGTGCTTTTGAAAGCACTGGTTTGAGTCACACGGGGCAGGAGAGAAGAAGCAAAAATAATCACATTTGGGTTATATTTAATTTGATTCGCTCCAAGTTTTAGGATTCAAGGTGGGTTGAAGTTATGGTGCCTGCTCTTTCTGACAGCCAGGTGAGTGGAAAAGAAAAGTACTTTTGGAACTCAGAGTCGGGGAATTGGATGGGAGAAACGGAATTCCTGTGTCTTGAAGAGGCACTTGAGACACAGATGTGTCATGTTGCATAGATGGTTATGATGTCTTTTCTTTTCTTTTTTTTTTCTTTTTTCTTTTTTTTTTGACAGGCAGAGCGGACAGTGAGAGAGAGAAAGACAGAGAGAAAGGTCTTCCTTTTTGCCATTGGTTCACCCTCCAATGGCCGCCATGGCCAGCGCGCTGCGGCCGGCGCATCACACTGATCCAAAGCCAGGAGCCAGGTGCTTCTCCTGGTCTCCCATGGGGTGCAGGGCCCAAGCACTTGGACCATCCTCCACTGCACTCCCGGGCCACAGCAGAGAGCTGCCCTGGAAGAGGAGCAACCGGGACAGAATCTGGCGCCCCGACCAGGACTAGAACCCGGTGTGCCGGCGCCGCAAGGTGGAGGATTAGCCTAGTGAGCCACGGTGCCGGCCAGTTATGATGTCTTAACAACGTTTAGTTAGGATACCACTGGGTTGCTAAGTAGATTTATAATTAAATTCAACCTGAAGACTAGATGATGGGCTCTCGTTACAAGAGCAACTGTGAGATGATATTTCTTTTAGCAAGTCACTGCTGTGACTGCGACAAGAGTGCTGTGCTTTCACCAAAACCCACTTTCTTACCCCCGGGGCAGACAGCTAACCTGCATTTCCCATCCTCGCTGTACTGGGCTGTGACCATGTCACAATTCTAGACGGTGGAATATGGGTAGAAGTGACACGCATTGCTTCAGAGACCAGTGCCCTCCACCCCCCCACCCATGTGTGGAATATTCTTCATGTGCTCTCTGACATCTTTCTCCTGCCGTACAGGATCCAGGAGAGGAATTGCCCCCCGATTATCTTGAAGCTACAAGATAGAATGAACACATCAGACTTTTTGTTTGAGAGTAACATACTTTTATCGTGTCAAGCCACTGAGACGCCGGGGTCTGTTTTAGCAGCCAGCATTATTTAACCTAACTAAGAAATGGTCTTTGCAGTCAAGGAAAAGTGTTACTATTATCAAGCTTGAATGCATAAGTCTACCACTTTTACAAGTTAAATTCGATTTGAATTGAGATCTTAAAATCTTTACTTTTCTTACGGTTGTAACACACAATACCAACAGAACTAGTAGCTATTCAGCCAGTGGATTATTATGTTATTTGTTATCATGTCCAACAACTGGCTTCTCTCATATTTTAATTAAATTAACAGGTATTTTAAATTCAAGAGGCAAGTTGGAGAACAAAATTTTTTCCCCATTTACCTTAGGACCATGAGAAATTTATTGCTTTAAACCACAATAATATTTTTTTGACACGCAGAGTGGGCAGTGAGAGAGAGAGAAAGAGAGAGAGGTCTTTCCTTTCCATTGGTTCACCCTCCAATTGCCGCCGGGGGCCAGGCCCCGCGGGCGGCGCACCGCGCTGATCCGATGGCAGGAGCCAGGAGCCAGGTGCTTCTCCTGGTCTCCCATGGGGTGCAGGGCCCAAGCACTTGGGCCATCCTCCACTGCACTCCCTGGCCACAGCAGAGGGCTGGCCTGGAAGAGGGGCAACCGGGACAGAATCCGGCGCTCCGACCGGGACTAGCACCCGGTGGGCCAGCACCGCTAGGCGGAGGATTAGCCTAGTGAGCCGCGGCGCCGGCCAATTTATTGTTTTAAACCACAATAAAATTAAGAGAATGTGGGTACTGGTGTTGTGGTATAACGGGTAAAGCCACCAGCAGCAATGCTGGCATCCCATGTGGCGCTTGTTCGTGTTCCAGCTGCTCCACTTCTGATCCAGCTCCCTGCTAATGGCCAGGGAAAAGCAGCAGAAGATGGCCCAAGTACTTGGGTCCTTGCTGCCCACGTGGGAGACTCAGACTGGCTTCAGCATAGCCCAGCCCCGGTTATTTTGGCCATCTGGGGAGTGAACCAGTGGGTGAAAGATCTCTCCCTTCTTTCTTTCTTTCTCTCTCTTTCTTCCTTCCTTCCTTCCTTCCTTCCTTCCTTCCTTCCTTCCTTCCTTCCTTCCTTCCTTCCTTCCTTCCTTCCTTCCTTCCTTCCTTCCTTCCTTCCTTCCTTCCTTCCTTTCTTTCTTTCTTTCTTTCTTTCTTTCTTTCTTTCTTTCTTTCTTTCTTTCTTTCTTTCTTTCTTTCTTTCTTTCTGCCTCTCCCTCCCTCGAAGTCTGATTTTCAAATAAGTTATTTCAAAAATTAACAGAATTTGTCTTTTTAAATCTTTATCTTATGAATTTGAATATTCAATTTAAAGTAACAATATTTAGTATATCTTAAGACTTTATCAATAATACTTTTACTTCTTTTATGTAAGTACATACTCTTATTTCCTAGAGAAATGTCCAAGTGAGCCTAAAATCTTCTGGGAAAGCATGACAGAGACAATGTTACAAAGCAGAGAATTTGGGGTGAATGTTTGGTACAGTGGTTAAGGCTCCATGCAGGATGCCTGAACCTCTATCAGAATGCCTGGATTTGAGTCCCAGCTCCACCCCTGATTAGCTTTCTGCTAAACCAGACCCTGGGAGGCAGTGGTAGTGATGGCCCAAGTAACTGAGTTCCTGCCACCCACATGGGGACCTGGATTCAGTTTTCTCCCACAGGTATTTGGGGAGTGACCTAGTGGATGGGGCATCTCCGTTTCTCTCTCTGCCTTTCAAATAAAGAAATGAGAATATTAAAACTACATTAAAATAAAATATTAAGTTTTAAAATTATACTTATCAGGAAACTAATCTTTGAAAAACAAAATGGTGACAGGATGAGAATTTTATGAACAAATGTGCTTTTAAATAATAACTGTATGGGAGAAAAATGTAATTATTTTCAATAAATCTCAGTGGTAGAATTCAGATGCCTTTTGGAACACAAATTGGAAGCTACTTATTAAATAAGGATAATTTGTTCTGGGTTCACACCACAAAATGGCTTCAAACATTTTAGAAGTAGGTCATTTGACTTCTCTAAAATGTCTGGTGTATGTAACATTCTTAAACAAGTTCATACGAAAGAGTGCATCCCAAAAGCATCCTTGGGATTTCTGACCATATCAAAGCAAACTGCACTACATTATCAAGGAGCTCTAATGAGACAGTTTGTTTAATTGAAATACTTTAAGTTACCATGTAGTACAGCATGCAAAAATCATTATTTTCACTGGCTTAACTATTTCTGTTAGCCCCAAACTAAAAGTTCGATATTGAAGCATGATATATAAATATATTGTAAAACAAGTTAAACAGCTGGTCACAAGGAATAATTAGGATGAAAACAATCTAAAATACCCAGATTTTGCCTTAAACATTAACTTGATTTATTTATTTTTAAAGATTTATTTATTTATTTGAAAGGCATAGTTACAGAGACGCGGAGGCAGAGAGAGAGAGAAAGAGGTCTTCCATCCACTGGTTCACTCCCCAATTGGCCACAAGAGCTGGAGCTGTGCTGATCCGAAGGCAGGAGCCAGGAGCATCTTCCAGGTCTCCCACGCAGGTGTAGAGGCCCAAGTGCTGGGGTCATCTTCTACTGCTTTGTCAGGCCATAGCAGAGAGCTGGATTGGAAGTGGAGCAACCTGGACTTGAACTGGTGCCCATATGGGACGCTGGCACTGTAGGCAGTGCCTTTACCTGCTATGCCACAGTGCCATAATATATGCTTGTAATGAAAATATAAATGACCATATCTCCATATCAGTCCAGATTGAGTCAAACAAACAATTCAGTTAGGAATAGTAAATTTCATTGTAGAATTGTAAAGTTAACAAATAACTGGGGCTAAGTCTACAGCAGAGTATGGGAATCCAGGACCAATCAACCATTCATTCAGTTATATGGGAATTTATGGCATTGTGGGGAATGTAATCAGGGGTTTCCCAGAAGTTCTTTTTTTTTTTTTTTTAAGATTTATTTTACTTATTTGAAAGTCAGAGTTGCAGAGAGGTAGAGCTAGAGGAAAGAGAGAGAGAGAAAGGTCTTCCATCTGCTGGTTCACTCCCCAAATGACTGCAACAGCCAGAGATATGCTGATCCAAAGCCAGGAGACAGGTGCTTTTTCTGGGTTTCCCACGTGGGTACAGGAGCCCAAGGACTTGGGCCATTTTCTATTGCTTTCCCCGGCCATAGCAGAGAGCTGGATCAAAAGTGGAGCAGTCAGGATTCGAACTGGTGCCCATATGGGATGCCAGCACTGCAGGTGACAGCTTTACCCCCTACGCCATAGCACTGGCCCCTAAACATTAACTTTAGACACCAATAACCTATGATTGTTTGTACCAAGTTAGAGGAAATATCAACCAGAAATAGGTCTGATGTATGCAAATGAAAATCTAATTGTGGCATCACCATTTAGCTGTTTTACTTGTAGCTTTAGACACAGTACACTTTACAGTTTTTTCTTTCACTGATTTATTACTAAAGGTAAGCTTATTTTGATTTATATAGGCAAGTTGAGAGAACTCATAGCATTTGCCATGGTTGATTTTCCGTGGGAGGAACTGACTTCTGAACAACAGAATATCAGAATGAAATTTTCCATTCAGTTAAAATATGGTCTGTTTTGATGTGAACCATTCCCTGGTTAAGAAGCATTAACAATTAAGAATTGTACCCCTCACCCAGTTGGCCATGACTTGGAACTGGAAGGTCCCATAGGCATGGTGGAATGTGAAAGAAGAAGGATCCTAAATCTGCGCAGAAGGCTAACCTGATGTCACCCAAGTTTTCATGAATAGAGTAGCTCTAATTTAAAAAGACAACACAGTTCAACTCTGATAACAGCTGTTTAAGATGAACTTTAAAAAAACAAGATGTGAGGAATCTCCAGACTGACTTCCACAGTGGCTTGACCAGTTTGCATTCCCACCAACAGTGGGTTAGTGTCCCTTTTTCCCCACATCCTCGCCAGCATCTGTTGTTGGTAGATTTCTGTATGTGAGCCATTCTAACCAGGGTGAGGTGAAACCTCATTGTGGTTTTGATTTGCATTTCCCTGATTGCTAGTGTCCTGAACATTTTTTCATGTGTCTGTTGGCCATTTGGATTTCCTCTTTTGAAAAATGTCTATTTAGGTCCTTGGCCCATGTCTTGAGTGGGTTGTTTGTTTTGTTGTTGTGGAGTTTGTTGATTTCTTTGTAGATTCTGGTTATTAACCCTTTATCTGTTGCATAGTTTGCAAGTATTTTTCCTATTCTATTGGTTTCCTCTTCACTTTCCTGACTGTTTCTTTTGCAGTACAGAAACTTCTCAATTTGATGCAATCCCAAATGTTAATTTTGGCTTTGACTGCCTGTGCTTCCAGGGTCTTTTCCAAGAAGTCTTTGCTGGTACCTATATCTTGCAGGGTTTCTCCAATGTTCTCTAATAATTTGATGGTGTCGGATCGTAGATTTAGGTCTTTAATCCATGTTGAGTGGATTTTTGTGTAAGGTGTAAGTTAGGGGTCTTGCTTCATGCTTCTGCACGTGGAAATCCAGTTTTCCCAGCACCATTTATTGAATAGACTGTCCTTACTCCAGGGATTGGTTTTGGATCCTTGATCAAATATAAGTTGGCTGTAGATGTTTGGATTGATTTCTGGTGTTTCTGTTCTATTCCATTGGTCTATCCATCTGTTTCTGTACCAGTACCATGCTGTTTTGATTGCAACTGCCCTGTAGTATGTCCTGAAATCTGGTATTATGATGCCTCTGGCTTTGTTTCTGTTGTACAAGATTGCTTTAGCTATTCAAGGTCTCTTGTGTCTCCATATGAATTTCAGCATCATTTTTTCCAGATCTGAGAAGAATGTCTTTGGTATTTTGATTGGTATCACATTGAATCTATAAATTGCTTTTGGGAGAATGGACATTTTGATGATATTGATTCTTTCAATCCATGAGCATGGAAGATTTTTCCATTTTTTGGTATCCTCTTCTATTTCTTTCTTTAAGATTTTGTAATTCTCATCGTAGAGATCTTTAATGTCCTTGGTTAAGTTTATTCCAAGGTATTTGATTGTTTTTGTAGCTATTGTGAATGGGATTGATCTTAGAAGTTCTTTCTCAGCCGTGGCATTGCCTGTGTATATAAAGGCTGTTGATTTTTGTGCATTGATTTTATATCCTGCTACTTTGCCAAACTCTTCTATGAGTTCCAATAGTCTCTTAGTAGAGTAGATTCCTCAGAAAACTGAATATAACCCTACCATACAACCCAGCCATTCCACTCCTTGGAATTTACCCAAAGGAAATTAAATTGGCAAACAAAAAAGCTGTCTGCACCTTAATGTTTATTGCAGCTCAATTCACAATAGCTAAGACCTGGAATCAACCCAAATGCCCATCAACAGTAGACTGGATAAACAAATTATGGGACATGTACTCTATAGAATACTATACAGCAGTCAAAAACAATGAAATCTGGTCATTTGCAACAAAATGGAGGAATCTGGAACACATCATGCTGAGTGAAATAAGCCAGTCCCAGAGGGACTAATATCATATGTTCTACCTGATTGGTGCAACTAACTGAGCACCAAAAAGGAAACCCATTGAAGTGGAATGGACACTATGAGAAACAGTGACTTGATCGGCCCTTGTTCTGACTGTTGATGTACAACTTAATACTTTATCCCTTTTAGTATATTTTTTTTGTTCTACTTAATACTATTGGTTGAACTCTGTAATTAACACACAATTATTCTTAGGTGTTTAAATTAACTAAAAAGTGATCTCTGTTAAATATAAGAGTGGGAATAAGAGAGGAAGGAGATGTACAATTTGGGACATGCTCAAGCTGACTTGCCTCAAATGGTAGAGTTAGAAATGTGCCAGGGGATTCCAATACAATCCCATCAAGGTGGCATGTACCAATGCCATCTCACTAGTCCAAGTGATCAATTTCAGTTCACAATTGATAGTACTAATAGGTCTAAGAGTCAAAAGGATCACATAAACAAGACTAGTGTCTGCTAATACTAACTGATAGAATAAAAAAGGGAGAGAATGATCCAACATGGGAAGTGAGATACACAGCAGACTCATAGAATGGCAGATGTCCCAAACAGCACTCTCGCCTCAGAATCAGCCCTTAAGGCACTCGGATCTGGCTGAAGAACCCATGAGAGTATTTTAGGCATGGAAAGCCAAGACACTCTGTCAAAAGAAACAAACAAACAAACAACCCTAAATGAAAGATGACTATGACCTTGTCTAAATAAGATCGAAGTTGGTGAACTCAAAAGGCTTCCATAGCCTTGGCAACTCATGACAAGAGCCTAGGGGGATTACTGGCGCCATAAACAAGAGTGTCAATTTGTTAAGTCAACAACAGGAGTCACTGTGCACTTACTCCTCATGTAGGATCTCTGTCCTTAATGTGCTGTACATTGTGATTTAATGCTATAACTAGTACTCAAACAGTATTTTACACTTTATGTTCTGTGTGGATGCAAACTGTTGAAATCTTTACTTAGTATATACTGAATTGATCTTCTATATATAAAGATACTTGAAAATGAATCTTGATGTGAATGGAAGGGGAGAGGGAGCGGGAATTGGGAGGGTTGTGGGTGGGAGGGAAATAATGGGGGGGAAAAGCCATTGTAATCCATAAGCTGTACTTTGGAAATTTATATTTACTAAATAAAAGTTAGAAAAGAAAAAAAACAAGATGTGGAGCATTTGCAATAGAAAACACTTTGCTGTTGGAGCACTAAAGGACCATTTGAACAATGGTCTCCTTTTGTTTTGAGAAAAGGAATAGATATTATATAATATATATCTATGTATATAAAATAGATATAAAGAGAAAAAGTCCTTTTGGGTTGGTATATGGAGACAATAGTCTGAAGATTTATTTTCTTTAATAGTAATTTTCTGGTCTCTTGTATTTCATGATTAAATAAATGTTTTAGAAGCTATTCTGCTAATAATTAAATTTAAGAGTTTCTCCAGTTTCATATAGAGTAGCTATGCACAAGGAGAACTGGACGTGGAATGTTAGTTTCATGAATTTCCTTACACCTCTGACATTTTGTGTACAAATAGAGAGAATAGGATGTTGAGGGTTTTCTTTTAGAGACCCTGGAGGAACTCTGCTCAGAGGAAAAGCGTTCGTGTATTAATAGGTTATGTCAGTTCTTTTTTCTGCCATGTTATGAACTAGAAACTTGAATGTCCCAGCTTTTAAAAAAATGGAAACTTGAATGTTTTGATCGTTAGTCCCTTGAGTCCTGTACTTGTTTGGAGTTTTATTTTCCCATCCCTGATGCAGCCTGAACTTCTTTGTCTGCAATTTAATCTCTATTGCTTTAATCATTTTGGATTGTACCGATGACTTCTCAGTAATAAAAGAAATGGGGAGCCAGGCTTGGCATGGGACAAGCTCTTCAGCTGCAATAAGACATTATATATGAGTTGTCTACCCACAAAAGGGCCCACTGTCAGATTAAATTAATGAGCTGCATGTTTTAATCATTAAGGTAATGGCAATATGTGGATTCTTTGCCTCTGTTTTAATCATTTGTATGTTTTTACCAGCTAGATCATCAAATGCTTTCTTTTAAGATGTCTTCCCATTTCATCGCAGAGAATAGCTTCTATGTGGGGCAGAAATAAATGCTGTAGAGTCCTAAGAAACACGAAATACCTTCAGGGTTTAGTGAAATTTATAGCTAAGTCTTTGTCCTTCCAGGCAGGAATTTGGAGGGGCAGATCTGTGGCCACTATTAGCAAATGGAACCAGCATGAGTTCCAACTTGGAAAGAGTCAACATGGAATAAGTGAATCGTAAGCCTGAAGTGGAAATGGGTTATTTTGTGGGCCATGGGCAGCATTCAACCAGGTGAGTTGATAGAGATACTGCTGACTAAGGCAGCAGGGGCTCTGTTCACTCTGCTTCTGCTGGGAATTGCTTTCTGCAAACTTTCAACTCACAGGCTGGTTCCTGCATGGCAAACATGGGTCATAGGACTCGCTCTTCTCAGGAGACTCTATGGTGAGTAGATCAGGGCATGTCTCCTACATCTAATTTTTCTAATAAAGCCACACTTAGAACATGTGGATGGGTAAGTTTTAGCATTATTTGCTTTTCTCCTCAGGTACTTAGGGGATGCCCATGTGACACCTAGAGCATAGGTTCAAAAATAGAAAAATCCAATTTACTAGTTATATCTTTGGGACAGTACCAGGCACAGGGCACATCTGAATTTTTACTGAATTTGCTAAATTAATACAATGACTTTATGAACTCCACAGTAATACTTCCCAGTGTGTTATTACGGTATTTGTTCAGAGCTGAAACCTAACTCTTCCTCTAGGTGTTTGATTGCATGATATCACTCAACTCTGAGCTCCTGTAGGGGACGGCCAGTCACGTATTAATGCATGTGATCTTCAGACACAGCTGATGTTCCTTAGAAGATTGTAGAACAGAATTGATGGTACAGGGATCCACAGACTTTCTGCTTTCCTTTCTGGAAACTGGGGTTTGGTGGGGGGGACCAAGGAATATGATTAAATTACAGATGAGAAAGGGCCTCAGAGATCACCTAGCTCAACATCTTCAAAGTAAGATCTAAAGAGGTCAGTCATGTGTCAAGGTCACTTAGTTGGTGACAGAGCCAGACATAGATGCCATAGAAACTAGCATTTATCAGAAGCTTCTAGAAGACTGGGCATCATGCAAGACCGGCACTGTTCTGTACATATCCGTTGAGCCTCATGAGGCCAACAGCACTTGAAATGTGTCAGAGGAGACTGAGAAACAGAACCTTAGAGTTTGCTTCATTTTCATTTAAAATCCAAATCCTTTTTCATTCATGACAACTTTATTGCTTTGTTAATGATGGCAGTGATCATTAAAAATTTAGTGGCTGAACCAACCAGTGCTATCCAAGTTAAAATACACACTGGATTTCAAAGATTAGATGAACAAAATCTTATTAATTTTTATGCTGATTTTATGCTAAATTATAATATTTGGGGTAGATTAAGTTGAGTAAAATATGGTGTTAAAATTATACTCACCTGTTTCTTTTTACTAATTTTTATCATGGCTACTTGAAAATTTCAAATGACATACATGGCTTGTGTTTTATTTCTATTGGGCAATGTGGTTCTGGACTCTCGACAGGTAGTATTTCATTTAATCCTCACAACAACCATCTCCATTTTTCTCCAGTTCATGGATGAGGAAACTACGACTGAGAGGGGCTAAAGTATTTGCAGACTCAACATGACATCAGGCTGTTTGGCTTGGAAGCCCTTATTCTTTCCAGAAACACTTCTCCCCAGCTTCTTTGCACCAGCCAGACAGTACCCAGATACACTGTACTTAAGCTGAATTACAGATTCTAACGCAGTGATTCACTACAGGAAAGGGCAGAATTCCTTTGACAAATTTAAGGTAGCTGACTTTAATGTTTGGGGGTTCTGTTTCATGGTTGTCTCCTTCAAAAAATTCTGAAAACAAGAAGTATATAGTTAATTTATTGAGAGAGAGAAAGAGAGAGAGAGAGAGAAAATCTTCCACCTGCTGGATCACTCCCCAAATACCTGCAACAGCCAGGGCTGGGCAAGGTTGAAACCAGGAGCCAGAAACTCAACCAGGTCTCCCTGGGTGACAGGGACCCCACCACTTGTGCTATCACCTGCTGCCTCCCAGGATGCACATTAGCAGGTAGCTGGACTCGAGAGCGAAGCCAGAACTTGAACCCAGGCACTCTGATATGATACAGGAGCCTCCATGTGGGTTTCTAACCACTGTGCCAATGCCAGCCTTAAGGAAAAATTTTTTTTGCTTCAATTTTCAATGCTTTTTTTTTTTAAAGTTTCTAGCCAACAATTATGTTTGATGATATACAAAGTTAGTTTGTCCTTTTCTATTGATTCACATTTTTTAAAAGGTTTATTATTTATTTGAAAGGCAGAGAGGAAGAGAGAGAGAGAGAGAGAGAGAGAGAGAGAGAGAGAGAGAGATCTTCCATCTGCTGGTTCACTCCCCAGATGGCCACAACTGCTGGAGCTGAGTCACTCTGAAGCCAGGAGCCAGGAGCTTCTTCCGGGTCTCCCATGTGGATGCAGGGGCCCAAGGACTTGGACCATCTTCACTGCTTTCCCAGGCCATAGCAGAGAGCTGGATCAGAGGTGGAGCAGCCGGGACTCTATCTGGCACCCATATGGGATGCCGGCACTGCAGGCTGGGGCTTTACTCACTATGCCATAGTGTCAGCCCCTGATTCACTTATTTTTCTATGAGAAATGAGTTACTTATTTTGCAACTAAGTTATTTGGAAAACATTAAAATATTTAATGTATTTTGTAATTGTAATTTTGTAATTGTATTTTAATATTGCTCTGTCTTTATTTCTAGTATAGGACTGCTTTTCGCCTAGGCAAGAAAAACAAAACACAGTCTGGCAGCTCCTCTGTGTAAAGTATATTTCCCACCCAGGCAGCCTCAGGATGATATCTTCTTGCTGCTATTTGAGACATGGAAATTCTACCACAATTTTGTTCTGAATTCTAACATTGGCCAGATACAAATACCTAACGATGTGGCAAAAAAGTTCAGACACATGAACCCATAAACACTGCTTTTGATGAAAGGGTAGTCGGATTTCTCCAGTGCCCAAATTCACTGGGAATCTGTATTTGAACAAGAGCCTCTGTTCTCTCCAGCTGTAAAAGGAGTTGGTATAATGTCACTGCAATCGAGTTTATTGTCAATAGAGGGCACCAAAGCATGAAAAAGTAATTATCGATGGTTTTGGCTTATTTCTTCAGCTCAATTAGTATTTAAAAAATGAAAAAAGAAAATCTTTGAAAGCATGTGTCCAGCCTAGTAGTTAAGAGTTAAAATGCCCATGTCCCATATTGGAGGACCTGGGTTCAATTCCTGGCTCCAGCTCCTAACACTCCCTTCCGCTAATGCAGACACAAGGAGACAGTAGTGATGGCTCAAATAATTGGGTTCCTGCCACTCATGTGGGAGACCTGGGTTAAATTTCCTGCTTCTGGTTTTGGCTTTGGTTCAGACCCAGCTGTTGCAGGCATTTGGGGAGTAAATCAGCAGATGAGGGTTTTCTCTTTGTCTCTTAAAATAAATAAATAAATATAAATAAATAACTTTAAAAACCTTTAAAAAGTCATCTTTTCATCTTGAAAATGGAGGATTCAGTACTTTTGTCCATATGTGTCCTTTCTGCCCATTCAGGCACAGCTAAGCCAGAGCTCAGCCTGAAGCCAGTGTTTGGTGCATGGGTGGTCTCAGAAATCCAGGAGAAAAAAAATGATTCCTACTTTCTGCTTCCTACTCCTCCACCAGCCTCCCCACCCCCTCCCCCAGACTCCCGCAGGACATGACCCATGCTTCTCCAGTTAGAATCCTCTCCAGCAGCTTGATTTTCACAGGACTTTCATGTGGTTAGCAAGAATCTGTTTTTGTTGTTGTGCTGTTTTTTTGTTTTTTTTTTTTTTTTTGGATTTGTTTCATTTATTTGAAAAACAGAGTTACAGAGAGAGAGAGAGAGAGAGGTTTTCCATCTGCTGGTTCACTCCCCAAATGGCCGCAATGGCTGGAGCTGAGCCGATCCAAAGCCAGGAACCAGCAGCTTCTTCCAGGTCTCCCATGCGGGTGCAGGGGCCCAAGGACTTGGGCTATCTTCTACTGCTTTCCCAGGCCATAGCGGAGTGATGGATTGAAACTGGAGCCGCTGGGACTCGAATCAGTGCCCATACGGGATGCCGGCACTACAGGCTGGGGCTTTAACCCTCTGTGCCACAGTGCGGGCCTGTTTTCTGGGTTTTGTTTGTTTGTTTTTTGATTCTAGTTCCTGTCAAGGGGCAAGGCACAGCGTCAGTTTCTGGGGATACCACATATTAAAACAGACCTGCTGAATGCAGCCTGCCGTCTAGCAGCCAGCGGAGATAGTCATCCCGCATCCCACAGACATACAGCAGAAAGTCATCTTACAAAAAGCAGTGTTTGAGCTGAGATCAGAATAGGTGTTAACTAGGATAGCAAGGAGGCTGCAGGGAAAAGATTCCAGGTACCAGGTCGCCAAGGTGGGTGAGCTTGGGAAATGACAGAGCAGCTAAGGCTGGGCTGGAGGCCAAGTGATATCATCCAGCGACTCTGGGGTCACGGCACAGAGTCTGGACTTGGTGGGATGTGCAAGGCAAAGCCCTTCATCCATGGGTGATGGGATTAGATTTACTGTTTTGAAAAGATCTCTCCAACTGCTTTATGGAGAGTGGCAGATCATAAGGAGGCTGCTGCAGCAGCTCAGAGGGGAAACCGTGATGACCTGGGCCAGGGTGGAGATGGTGGGTTGGAGAGACAGGACCAAGGAATGAGCAGGACTCCACTGTGAATCAAACACGGTGGTGAGGGAAAGAACTGCACTAAGGGTGATTTCTAGGTTTCCGGCCTGCAAAGGGCTCACAGCTTGGGAGTTTCAAAGTTAGAGAATACAGTTTGGGAAGTGTTGAGAGAAATCAGGGACTTAAACACCAGATGGTAACTTGTTGGGCAACCTTAGGCCCAGCTGTTGGTCTTTACACCAAATCTCTGAACTACCCTGTAGTGAGTGAACATTTCCAGAAGAGCTGGGAATGAGCAGCAACGTTGCAGCATGATGTCTATATCCAAGGCCAGTATCAATGTACACAAATGCAGAATGCAAAGAAAAAGTTCTGGAATATAATTAAATCACTAACTGTCATGTTTCAGGGCTGAGATGAGAGGGAACGCCAATTTGAAGTCCAGATGTTACTGTGTTGTTTGAAATTTTTTAAAGTAAGCCTTAATTGGTCTTCTCATTAGCAAAACTCATAAAATCACTGTCATTTCCAATAACAAGCTTTTCGCTTGGGAAATGGGAAGCCCTTTGTGGAGTCCCAGTAATCTCCCACCTCCATTCAGTCTCTCTACTGGAATTTAGAGAGCCTTTCCATTTGGGAACCTTGTAGCCCCGGAGAGCATAGATTTCTCTCACTGCAGCTCATTAGAGATCCTCAGAAAATCAACTTGAGGACCGGCTACAGAAGCCCTCCCAGCACCCTTTGATCTTTGCAGCAGCAAATGTGTCGTTTGTAGCACGAGGGTCCAGTTCTTCTGTGAGGCTAAAATAGAGCCACTCCAAGACACTTTGGAGGCTCCCTGAACTCCTACTAACTACCCATCTTTGTCCCAATTGATGTAGCAGTTCTGCCATATCCCCCAGGACGTCATTTCCACTTGCTTGGTAAATAATTAGCCTGCTGCCTTTGGCTATAGAAAGGATTATAAATATTTCAAACACTGCAAGTGATTGAAACAGTCTCTATTCGAATTCATCTATGCCTGTGATGCTTTGCGTGAAAATTTGCCTCTAAGAGGGAAAAAATCTTTGAGAAGATGAACAAGCAGAGTAAGGTGGGGTGTAGGCTGCTGAGGTCATTGGACACTCGGAATCAGGCTATCAGGAGCCAGCAGTTTGAACCTTCCAATTTTAGCTCACACCTGTCAATCTTTCTGATCTCCAGAGAAATAAAAGATCCCACTTCTTAAGAGCACTTTTAGTCTTGCAAGGATTATTTTTAAATAAACTTTATTTTTCAGAGCAGTCTTAGGTTCACAGCAGAACTGAGTCCCCACACACCCATGGCCTCCCCCACTATTGATACCCCATACCAGAATGGTACCTTTGTTACTACTGTCAGTGAAGCTACATTGACACATCGGTATCACCCAGAGTCCCTAGTTCACATCAAGGCTCTCTCTGGGCCCTGTGTATTGTGTATGTTTTGAAAAATGCAAATGGCATGTGTCTATCACTGTAGAGCACACATTCCTCTCTCCCCAAGACTTCTGGCAACCACTGGTCTTTTTACTGTCTCTCTAGTTTTGCCTCTTCCAGAATGCCTTAGAGTTGGAATCCTTATAGGAATTTTAAAAATATTCCTCTCAAGTAAGTTATAAGAACTTACAAGTTCTCATTTATATAATCGGTGATACTCTTTACAGTATGTTCTTTGTGGTTGCCATGAAAACCCATGGCTGCACTTAGACCCTGTCTGCATCTGACCAGCACTTCATGGACAGTTAGGTGAGATCCACTGCCCTACACGAGGCAGGCAGCCAGCAGGAGACTGATCTGTTGGGGTCGGGGGAGTCACACAGAGCCCTGCCGAGTGTTCTCTGCTCTTCCAATGTAACTTCTTCATTTTTTTTTTTTTAAGATGTACTTGAAAGAGTTACAGAGAGGCAGAAGCAGAAAGAGAGAGAGATCTTCCATCCGCTGGTTCATTCCCCAAATGGCCACAATGGCCAGAGCTGGGCCGATCTGAAGCCAGGAGCCAGGAGCTTCTTCTGGGTCTCCCACAGGGGTGCAGGGGCCCAAGCACTTGGGCCATCTTCTACTGCTATCCCAGGCCACAGCAGAGAGCTGGATCAGAAGAGCAGCAGCCAGGACCAGAATTGACACCCATAGGGGATGCCAGCACTGCAGGTGGAGACTTAGCCCACTATGCCACACTGTGTGTCCCCCCCCCCACTATTTTTTGTGGTACAAAAATTTTGAAATCCACCCATGTGCAGGGTATTCAAAAAGTTCATGGAAAATGCACATTAAAAAAACTATATATGGATATTGATTCAGAGGATAACAGTACCATGTTTCCAAAGTAAACATTGTCTATGCTTTTTTAAAATAAATTTTATTTATTTTTATTTTTTATTTGAAAAAGATGAGAGCGAGCGGGGAATTGATCTTCAATCTACTGGTTCACTCCTTAAATGACCACAACAGTGAGGGCAGGGCCAGGATGAAAGCAGGGCCCCAAAACTCAATCTGATTCTACCATATGGGTAACAGGAACCCAAGTACCAAAGCCATCCTCTGCTCCCTCCCAGGGTGCACATTAGCGGGACTTGATCCAGGCACTCCAATATGGTATGAGAGCTTCCAAGCAGTGACTTGACCACTGTGCCAAATGCATACCCTTGTCCTTGCTCTATTGTCCTGAGATAACCATTGTTAAGTTTAACATTTTGTGTGTATCTTTACATTCTATAAATGGGTTCATGTGGGGAGCAACTAGGAGCAACTCGGACTAGACTAAGTTACTGGAATTAAGACTTATTCTATGCATCTGCTCTCCCACAATATGGCGCTGAGAAGGGAGAAACAGCTTCTACACAGCTGCCTCCAGTTCCACCAATAAACTGTAGGACCTGCTCCTGATTGGAGGAGAGCAGCGTACTTGGCGTGTGGGTAGCAGAGTTGGGATTGGCGGAAGAGGACTATAAAGGAGGAGAGAGACAACATGCACCAGGAACATCTAAGGGGAACATCTATCTGAAGGAACACCTGTGCAGCCCCCGAGAGAGCCGGCCAGCGGTGTGCCGCTCCCCCGCGGAAGTGGGGAATGTGGCAGGGGGAACCGCCCTTCCACGGAGGTGGAAGGGATGGTAGCCAACCCGGGAAGAACCAGCAGCAAACCCGAGGAGGGCCGAGCAGACAAAAGAACAGCGCAGGGTCCTGTGTCGTTCCTCCACGAAGACGGGGAGCGACAGGTTCATCCTATACTCACCACTTTGCAACATGCTGATTTTATTGGACATTTTATCGTGATCAGCTTTTCATGTCAATTCATAAACATCTGATCTTTTTAAAGACATGCAAAAATGTGTTGACCCAAACCTCTATTGAGGGCCACATGAATTATTTCCAAATATTTGCTTTGAAACACCAGCAATAAAGATTTATGTGCTTCTTTGCACATCTTTTTGATTATCCCTAGGATAAATTCCTAGAAGTTAAACTTTTAGGTCAAAAGGTAAACATTTAAAATTTTGATGCATTTTGCCAAATTATACTCTCAACAAAAGTATGAGACTATAGTTTTCTACACGCAAGCCAAGACAAAGAACATTATTTTTTTATCTTGCCAGTTTGCTAAGTAAAAAGTGTTTTCATTTTTAGTTTTAAATTTAAATATCAAGTTTAATTTTTATTTCAGTATAGGTTACATGGGGATATTAAGTTTGTACAAATTCAGTGAGCTTTATAGTTTTGATATGCATATTAAGTATATATATATATATATATATCCACTTTGGGAGGATTTGTTTATCTGTTAGGCCACTTAGGGCTGCAAATAACAGAACAGGCCAAGTTACACACACACACACAGTGGGTGCTTCAAAATATTTCTGGAAAATGGAATTAAAAGCTATTGTGCAATTTTCTCAATCTTTGGGTGGCACGGGTTGATTAGTCCAGCAGAGCAGTGCACCAGCAGTCATACTCTGTGTTTTGGCCCAGCTCTCCTTGCGGAGGCAAGACGGCTGCTGCAACTCCAGGCCGCACATGCAAATGTCACAATATCCAGTGGAAGAAGAGAGATGGTTTCCTCCTGTCTGTTTCTGTCAAATATCTGAGGACAAATCTTTCTTGAGTTCTTCCCCCCTCCCATGACTTGCTCTCACGTCTGTTTGATTAAAATTCCCTCGGATGGGAGCCAGCATCTAAGTGTAGCAGGGGAAGCAGCCAGATGGGATGCTGGCACCCATGCTAAGTTGACAATTTGAGTTCTGGCTGCCCCACTTCTGATCTAGCTTCCTGCTAATGCTGCTGCGAAAGCAGCCAGTGATGACCCGAGGACCCCTGCCACCTATGTTGGAGACTAGGATAGATTGCCTGGCTCTTGGCTTCAGCCTGTTCCAGCCTTGGCTGTTGTGACCATTTGGGCAGAGAATCAGCAGGTGGAAGATCTCTCTCTCTGTCTCTCCCTCTCTCTCCATCACTCTGCCTTTCAGATAAATAAAATAAATCTTTAAAATAAAATAAAATTCCCTCACATGTCCAAAGCTGGTTAGCCAACAGTAAGAGGAGTGGGAACACCATGATGGATCTAGAAGGAGAAAGATTCCCTTTCTGCGGCTGGAGCTGAGGCCCAGCTCCCCGTCATTCGTGGCTGGGCAGAGGAGCTCAGCAATGTTTGTAGGAGACAGAGAACCTGTGGGAGAGCAATGGGAGATCAGGATTGGGCCCGACTGGGCTGCCGCTTAGGATGGATTTGAGGAGAGGTGTCTGCACACTGAGAGAGCCACTAGAAAGCCCCAAGAAAAGTGGTTTAGCTCGATATTTTCTGAGGCCCTTCTGTGCCAGTTGATGTTCCAGGGACATCTGATGGATACGTGGACTGTGTGGACAGATTCGATCTATCATATTGAATCAGTGAGACTATGACTCTGCACAGAGTGGTATAAGCATATGTTAATAATGACAGAGCTTACTGCAGCTGGGCATTGTTCTCAGTGCTTGAGTGGATTAATTCATCTATGCTCGGGATGACTGCAGGAAATAGGCACTATTGTCGTTCCTGTTTTAGTGGTGAAGCTGCCCAAGCGCAGGGAAGTGAAGTAACCTGTCCTAGCTGAAAGAGCCAGGAAAGAGAGGAGACAGGATTGGATCTCAGGCTGCGAGATATCTGAGTCCGCCCTCCTAACCACCCTACTGTGCTGCTCACGACACCGGCACAGCAGTAGCTAGAATGCCAGTAGGAGGGACAGTGCTTAGAGTGGAAGCAGTGCAAATGGAAAAGGGTGTAGCTATGATTTAATCACATTGGACAATTAGTGCTTCCCATCTGACAGCACTGTGTTAAATGCTATTTATATGTAATCTCACTCAATCCTCACAACTCTGGAAAATAAGCACTCCAGTCCATACCTGAGGAAATTCAGGCTAAAAGATGTTCAGCCATTCACCAAAGGTCAGTATTTGATTTGAACCTGGGTCTTTTAAGACTCTGAAGTGAGTGGAGTGAGTTGATTCCACTATGTTGCTATGAAATTTATTTTCCAAATAGAAGACAGGGAATTCTGAAAAAGAGTACCGAAGGACATAAAGGTGTCTGTATGCTCCTTTTTTTTAATTGAATAACTTTAAGAAAATCATGTGGGCTTTTTTGTTTTTCTGTTTTGTTTTGTTTTCTTGCTTATTTTGAGAGGCAGAGGGAGAGACAAGAGGCAGATAGAAGGAGAGGCCCTATCTGCTGGACCACTCTCTAAATGCCCACAAGCAGGAGCTGGGAGCTCACTCTGGGTCTCCCACATGGGTGGCAGGGATCCAGCCACTTGAACCATCAGTGCTGCCTCCCAGAGCCTGCAGGAAGCCGGAGTGACAAGCTGGAGCCATGAATCAAACCCAAGCACTCTGATGTGGGATGCAGGCATCTTAACTGGTGTCTGAACCACGAAGCCAAATGCCCACCTCAAGAAAACCATCTTTGAAGTCACCATTGAGCCCTGGTTGGTCTGAGTTGGCCTCCACGTAGGCCACGGCGCTGATCGCGCAGGTACTTCAGATCACCTCACTTAATTTTCTTCAGGGAACCTAAATCCAGAATATACAAACTTTTTTCCAAACATTTTGGGCTTTCATGAAAAAATTTATGTATGTTAAAAGGTTATTATATACTTATGGTTATTCAGTAATATTTTTGTGTATGTAATTCGTACCTTGTATGAATTCATACCTTAGATGAATGCAAATTTGTTTCAATTTGCATAATCCAAGTAACTGCCCGCTATTCTCACAAACCCTTGTGGTCTCCCTGAGGAGGGGGACCTCCTGCCCAGCAGAGTTAGGGAGCAGCAATTACTCTGGAGGGTTTTTTCTTTTCTGTTTCCAGGGAAATTCTCTGAAGCCCTTGTCCAGATGTTAACAGGGCACATGTGGTCTTGGAATCTTGACTTTTCAAATCTTCTTTTGTTGGTAGCTGGGTGGAGCAAAGGAAATTGTTAAGGGGTATTATGGTTTCTTTTCTCTTGTAAGCTGAGTTGAAGCCAGCCAACACCATCAGTGACCAGAGTCACTGCCATCTGTCAGTTGCGGGTGGCCCAAACTCCCGTCTCTTGCTATTGCCAGCAGACAGGTAACTCACATCTGAAAAATCAACACACCCCATCTGGAACTTGTAGGTAGATGCTAAAAAGAATCCAAGCATGAAATTATCAGAGATAGACAGATAGTCAGAGACGAGGTCTCTCAGGATCAGGCTTGTGACATACAGGTAGAGCAATTCTAGAAAGCTCTCTGATGGCAAAGGCCCCTGAATATGCTTTTTTGAAGTGCAACCTTCTACAAAAATGGAAAGAAAAAAATAAAAGCCCCAAACCACACACACCCAAACCCACTCACTTCTCTGGCAATGCCACATAAAACAGAACTGTCTGTCATGAGGATATTTGAATTTCAATTGCTGCCAGTTCTGAGGAAAAGGTCGGGTTAGCTGCTTGAGAGATAATCAGCATTTTAACAACATACCAAGGTCTCGCTCTATAATTAGTAAACACAGGTGGAACAGCTTCTTACTTCCTCTTCCTTAGATATATAGAGATTACCGGGGGGAATAAGAATGGCAGGATGGAAAATATGTAAGGAAATAACTTTCTAAATAGTCAGAATTTAGTATAGTTCTGTATCAGAATATAAAAATAGACGTTTGTCTTTTAAAATAGTTCTATATTGTAGCATGTTGCATATGAGTGTAAGTATTTCAAGTTTCACTCACCTCACTATGAGGATTTACACTGCTTCATCCCTTACATGCACTCTGGATTACAAACATGAGAGGCCTCCAGAAAGTTGATGGAAAATGTGCACCATGAAAGAATTAAGCCTGGATTTGAAAATTACTTTTTAATTCTAGTTTCCATGAACTTTCTGAAGTCCTCTTGAAAACTCAGTGTCAAATATAAACCATGGTTCCTATTATAACAATATTATAGAGCTAGTGAGGGATTGGGTGAGCAAGGGAAATGAAAAACGCCCTGGTATATCCCTGGAGAGGCTGAACAGGCAAAGATTTTAGAGGGAATGTTTGTCCCAGAGTCAGCCGGGGGCCTTCGAGGCACACATTTTCCCTGGGTGAGCACAGAGTGGAAGGGGTGTGGGGTGAGCTCTGTTACATGGCTTTGGGCAAGTTACTTAAACTCACTGAGCTTCAGTTTCCTCATCTATGAAATGGGAGTTGTTATCACCTTCCAGGCAAGCTATGTGAAGAGCAAATAAGACAATGGCATTAAAGCTTCACCATGTTATTCCATTTCCTGCCCCTTCTCTGTAGGGGTAGGGATCAGTGTCATCCTGTTAGCATATAGGTTTCTCAAGAGACACTGTTGGCAGATTGGAATCTGGCCTTCTGGCCTCTTCTACCTTGCACCCCTTTCTCTCTCTCTCTCTCTCTCTCCCCTAATACTAGTGTCAGTACATTGCTCTCATGGAAGAACTAATTCCCTTTCAACATTCCTGTTCCCCAGCCTAAGAGTAAAGCCTAAAAAATGTACCTCTGTTAAAGAAACATTTTCCTACTAATTCATACCCACAAGGCTTGATTTATCCACCTCCACCAGGGTGTGAAGATGAAAACCACATTAAGGAGGCTTCTCTTGAGAGGTGATTTGGGGTCAGTTAGAAATTGCACTCGTCTCTTTCTGAGCCTATAGCTTGGATCTAATCCCAAGAGGTTAAGAATCCTATGGATTCTGATTCTGTCTCCAAATTCCCAACTCTCTGCTTGGATTGAGACAGTCCACTTCTTTCCATGTTGCTTTGGCATTGTACTAGCCAGGGTTCCTGGGTGTCTCCAGTGTAAAGGAATCTACTTGTTTTATACCTTTCGTTGTGCCAGCTACACATCTGAGCTTCATTCTGAGTGAGCAAGTGGGTGGATGAATGAATGAGCAGCATTTCTCCACTTCTTGAAATGATGCCAGCTTTTGATCAAAGCCTCCCACCCTCAGAGAATGATGTTCTACTGAGCCCTGTTCCTAAGAAGGTGCACTGTACTTTCAGCATATCCCTCCCGGCAAAGCTGTGTAGAGCTTCACTTTCTCTAGCCTCCCCTTGCCACTCCCATGGCCACACTCAATAATTATTTTTATTTATTTAAATACAGAGTTAGACAGTGAGAGAGAGACAGACAGAGAAAGAGAGAGTTATAGACAGTGAGAGATCCATTGGTTCACTCCCCTAATGGCCTCTACGGCCGGCACTGCACCGATCTGAAGCCAGGAGCCGGGCGCTTCCTCCCAGTCTCCCGTGCAGGTGCAGGGACCCAAGCACTTGGGCCATCCTCCACTGCCCTCCCAGGCCACAGCAGAGAGCTGGCCTGGAAGAGGAGCAACCGGGACAGAATCCGGTGCCCCAACTGGGACTAGAACCCGGAGTGCGGGCACCTCAGGCGGAGGATTAGCCAAGTAAGCCACGGCGCTGGCCTCAATTATAACTTAAAAAAAAAATGCCATAGATAGGCTCTATCCCATCCAAGGATATTTAGCCCAGGTCCCCAAGAGTAACTGCATCATTTTAGATCAGAGGTTCCAGAAAGACAGGGGTGTGCCTACTCAAACATCTGCCATGCGTAAGATATGCTAAATAAGTACTTCTGGTAATGACACAAAGGACAGCTTTGGAAAAGCTTTAGTGCTCTACCATCACCAATTACATTTAGCACTGTTCAAAACTGGATTTAAATCCGGACCTCCCAAGAAGGGTCCCAGTAGCCCTGAGATGGAATGCGTGGTATTCTTCGACCTCTCTTCCTTAAATATCTGTCCAGCTTATGCTCTTTCATGTGTTTTTGATGTAAAAAAAAAAAAAAAGGAATCATACCCTCTACTAAAATTTTCCTGACTCAGGCATTTAATATTATTAATGAAGACTGAATGGCTGGAGTTTAATTTTGTGAAAACTTTCAGCTTGAACTCTAAGGAGTCTCGGAACCAAGGGTTTGGTCAAAGCAGTGAGGAGCCTGTCTATATTTTATATGTGCATGATTATTAAATGGAACACAAGGCAAGTGGCTTGTAATTGTATAGCAACCAAACACATGGTTTTCCGCTTTCCTCTGGGATGGAAATGCCTTCCTGCAGAAACTAAGGTTATGCCCTTGCTTGTGAAGCCCAAGGAGGAGCACTTTGATGTG